AATTACAATTAAAAACACCATTATAATTAAAATTAAAACATAATTAGTGAAATGCGTGAAAATACATATTAAAATGGTGTATTTTAGTTTGTATGTGTGAAATAATGTGTGAAATGTCAAAATATTAAATGAGGGGCTAATGTATAAATATATGATAATTAGATACTTAAATATAAGAACGGTAAAAAGTTAGTAAAAAGAATAAAAAGGGAATATTCCTTTTTGGTGATAAAAATAGTGTAAACTGTTGGAGATAAAATATTGTATGATGTGATGTTTACACCATTTTAATGTAAAAATGGTGTAAACTCTTGGAGGTGGCCTAAGGGTATTAATGACAACACACTGTTTTTTAGTCCTAGTCAAACTACTGAAAAATTAGGTTTTATTTGTGAATTATTTTTATGATTTGGTCCTATATGGGTAATTTTCTCTATTTTTTAAGAAAGAAGTGAATTATTCAATTATTTCTACCTCTCATTCAAATGACGTCTTAAGAAATTTGGAACATTGTTGTTTAGATCTTACTTGCCTCAGATTTTGAGTAAAAGTATTCAACTCCCAAAAAAAGAACTTTATCGACGGTAAACAATAATCACAAGTTTCACAGTCAACTGCCTAACAATGATTTCTTGATTTTCAGGAGAGTGCACTTCAAAATACTCCCCTCTTGCAATCAATTAACATAGTTCAAAACACAACTAACACTGAAGACAATTATTAGTAACAACAACAGTTTGGTACCAGCTCAAGAAACAACAGTTCATAATATCGTTTAATTTGAACCATTTTAGTAACCGAGTTGTTTTGGTGGTATGGAGGATGGGGAGGAGAAGGAAACCTATTGTGGCTGCTAAATACTCCTTCCCTCCTGTTTAGATTGTCTCATACAAATTAGGTAAAGTTTTGTAGTTCTAAATCATTCTTACATTGTTCTTATTTTATCTCGTCAATATTAATCATTTAATCCACTTTTCTTAATAATGCACCACCTTCTCATATTCCAATGTTAGTAGGATGGAGGTAGTATATATTAACAGATTCTCATGTGTACGAACACCAGCACTACGTACATATTGAAATTTCTCGAGTAAGGATCTTCACAACGAATTAGATGAAAGGATCAATCTTTTGCCCATACCTTACTACTATGGCCACCATTACCAAATGATGCCATTTTTGCCACAGAGGAAGACAAATGGCAGTTTCCGGTAGATGAACTAAAGGAGGTCTTTGGCCGGGGTCATCTCCTCCACTCTCTTCTCTTCCTCAATTCTCCTATGCATGGGATTTCACCGGTCAGAGTTCTTATGGCGAATTATATGCATGGATCGATCCAAATATCCTTCATAAAGATAATGATAACTCGGGGGAGTGAAGCTTTCACAAAGGGAAAGAATCACCTTCCTATTTATTTTCATTCGTGAGGGCATCCATTGTGGAAATATTAGTCATGCAAGCTTTTGTTGGATCCTTATACCTTGTAGCAGCTAATACCTTGTGGTTTGTTATTCACATTCAATTCCAATGGAGGGTCAACTTTAATTCCAACAAGGTGCTTGGAAGTTGTGATAGGTAAATGAGACATTTTTCTCTCACGCAACTTGTTATCTCTACTATGAGTATAATCGTTTTGTATCCAAGTTCCCCACTTCTTCATTTTCTTTGACTATTATATGAACGGATGAACCAAAACAAGTTGGCATTCTTTGGATTTCTCATCCTCAGTATCAATTTCTATGATACTATTTTTGCCCATCATTACATCTTTTTAACACAAAAGATATATCAAAATCACCACTAATGATGTACTAGCTCTGTCCCCTTAATTTTTTATTGGGACGGAAGATGGTGACACGAGTTTTAAGAAAAGTGGGCTTGTGTGGTTGAAATTAATTGATAAAGTAAGAATAAAATAAGAATGATTTTGAGTCACACAAACTTTACCTAATAAGGTATGAGACAATTAAATAGGGACATCCCAATATGGTAAAACGGGACATTCAAAAGGGGACGAAGGGAGTATTATGTTTCTCTCAAAATCTTAATGCACCAAACCCCCCTGTGATTTGGAAATTCGGCGCATTAGCTCCATGTGATTTAAAAAATGCGTCAAACCACCTTGTGTTTTAATTAATCATGCACAGAACCCCCTTTATGAAAAAATTTAACGATTTGAAAATCATTTTTCCTAATATTTTGATTGAATATGCAAATAAATATGTCAAAATCTCTTAATCATACAAAAATGTTAATCATTTTTCTTTTATTTGACAATTGAATTTGTTCACATAAGGAATTTGGCGCATGATTAATTAAAACACAGGGGGGTTTGACGCATTTTTTAAATCACAGAGGGCTAATGCGCCGAATTTCCAAATCACAGGGGTTTGGCGCATTAAACCCCTTTAATCTCTCATGACAACAAATAATACTTCGTAATAAGGAATAATACATAAGGAGTAGGGGCAAACCCAATTTGCAAAGATGGACGCGATCTAGTAGCCAGTAGGGCAGGACCCAATCCAGACCGAGAAAGGTCAGTTATGCGTTTTGTATAGTCTAGCTTGGTCCGGCTTTTTAGCCTGTTTAACAACATAATTGGTCCGATGTGGTGTTATTTTGGAGAAACCAGAATCATCAATTTTTGAATTTGCTTCAACCATAGCATAGAAACCGATTCGGTTTTGAAATAAAACCAGTTGGCTTATATTTGGTTCCAAAACAAGCACAAGGCCCATTCCTATGTGTCAACATTTGTAATATTTTGTCATTCATTCATCCCTGTATTTAGGCCGTTGTTGTTTTAAACATTCTCTAATGAAGATGTAAGATGTAAATTAGAGGGAAAATTAGGAAAAAAAGTTCTTTTTTGTTTGTGGAACTTCGGGGGGATCAAAGGTGAATATAACGTATATAAGCTTCAAATAATTACTCCTTATGTGGTACCAAAAATTGATAGATTTAAAGTAGTGAGTGGTGTTTGTAGGTGGTGGTGGGTGAAATGTTTTAGGATGTTTTCTTTTGGATTGAAATTTGCTGGTCTGGTCTGGTCTCTGTGTATTTTATAACCACGCAAATCTGGTCTGGTCTAGAACTAAAAACAGTCCAAAAGAAAACATCCTTATACTAATGTGCATTATGACCTTTTTCTTGCTAAACCAACTCTATATTCATCCACAACAAGGTGTTTATCATCTGCTTTGCTTTCATTTGTTTTGAGTTATTCACCTAGAAGTTAACTAGGAATGTATAAAAAAATAAACCAAAGAAACATTTAGAGCCTATTTGGTAGCATTGACTGAATTGGTTAATTTTGCTAAAATTTATGTAGTTTTTGCTGAAATGGCTGAATTAGTTGGCTTTACTCAATTATGAAAAAAATTAAAATATACTTTATTTATAAAATAAAGAAAAAAATATGAAAAAAAAAATAAAATGATCCTTTATACTCCGTAGTAATCAATTCTGAAAAGTTTGGTTTAATATCATTTCAAATCAATATGGATAAACAACGACCATGGCGGTGCTATGGCGGATTTTTTTAGATATCAAACGCAGTATAGAGGTAGCATACTCGTGTTGTAGATTCGCAGTAGTGCTACAATTTAGCCAATATGACGGTGTTATCCTTCAATTAGACCATTGGTAGGAGTAAAAAATGTTAAATGTGGGATTATTGACTTCTATCGACGTGTATATGCGAATATGTACACACAAGATAGTAAACAAAATGTGTACATTGTGTACACAAACAATTTGACATTAAGTTATGCCCCTTTTTAAATGAATTAACACTAAAAAATTTCCTTCCCCATTCCCACTTAACTCCCATACGAATAAAAAATAGGATTAAATGGACAAGTGACGTTGTGATGACATCAACCCCTAATAGTGAGGAAATTGAAATTTGTTTATGTAAATCTAATGGTTCAAATGCATTTGGGACTGTTAGAAGAGAACAAATTGATTCGTAGGCCCAAATGAAGTTCAACAATTAATACGGGGTAGGTTTTTTTTTTTGAATGTTCATAAGAGAATCAAATGATAATCGATTTTTACTTGAATTTATTTATTTTTTTATTGACCAACAAAAAAACAAGAAAATTCGTTTGTCCAATTTTAATTTTTTGAAATTGAAATGTATTTTATTATATTCAGAAAAATCCACTATGTATAATAAGTTAAGTAATATTTTATGAAATCGATATGTAAACATATTTAAATTGGATATCATTGACAGTGCTCAATAATCAATATAGGAAAAAACAGAGTGAGAGTCGAGCGCGGATTCAAAAATCCTAATGGAAGAGTAATTATATTAGAGTTAAACATTATTAATGAGATAAATCAAATATCAAAAATAGAAAATTGACACTCCAAAATATTTACATAAATATTACGGAGTACTCTTTAAAATGTGATTGAAAAAAATATTAATTACTTTTTCCGTACCCTAACAATGGGACAAGAGGGAGTGTCACGCAAAGGAATAAAAAGTGGTTTATGTGATTGATATTGAATTGATAAAATAAGAATGATTTAGGGTCACACAAACTTTATCAAATTTGATATGAAACAATCATAATGGAACGAACCGAAAAGGTAAAATGTGACAATTTTAACGGGACGGATGAAGTAATAATTACTCCCTCCGTACCAAAATTAACTTCTCACTTTCATTTTTGGGCAGTCCCGAAATTAATTTCACACTTCAAAACCTTCCTTATTTGGCAAATAATCTACATCAAAAAAGTGTCAAACAGTGTCCAAACAGTGTTTAAACAGTGCAAAACAGTGCACTCCAGAGTAAAGTCAAATTTATTTTCTTAATATGTGTGAAGTCAAACTGTGAACTTAATTACGGGACGGATGAAGTATAAGTAACAATAATTGTATTCAAAATTTAAGCTACATAGTCACATTTTATCCACATTTCCACATGAACTATTCGTATTTTACATTTTTATCTAATCCAAAAATAACAAAAGTAAACCCTACTTTTTTCCCTTCGATCGTTTGTTCATGCCTGCTCCCTTGCGGTCTCGCTCTTCTCAGCTTCTTCACTTGGCGCTTCAGACCTAAAACTGTAAGACGCGCATACTCCATCTTATTCTTTCAATGTTATATGAATTCAGCTCCAAGTTTGAAACTTTGAGATATTGCTATTATCGGCCATCTGTAATGAGAACTTACATTGTTTTCTTATTGATCTATTCATTTATGAATATCTTAAACATCACAATCATACACTCACTTAAAAATATGTAGATGTGCCATAGTTTCTTATAGCTGAGCTTCAACTCTAAGTCTGAGTGTTGTCTTATAGCCTTGTAAACTGTGCTCTCTTAAAATATGAAGCGTCCAGACAGTGTTGGCCATAACTTTGGCAGGATTGGAGGCTATAAACACATATGCATGTTCTGTTTAATAAAAAATATTGATTCTGCACAGGATTGGAGGCTATATAATATGGATTATTGATGAAAACGGTTAGCAACACAAGAGGGGGGGTGAATTGTGTTTGTGTGGAACCGTGGCAGTTTTTCGCCGAGTTCTAGTGTGGGATAAAGGGAATTGCAAAATAGTAAAGTGCACAAGAATTTAACGAGGAAAAATCCCTTGGCTCAAAGGGATTAAAAAACCTCGACCTCCCTCGGAGGAATTTTAAACAACTTCACTAAACAAGCCTTTGGAAGAGTTACAAGAGAGATTCTCCTAACCTACCCTTGAGCCTCCCCAACTCTATCCTCTCTAGGAAGAGTTATGCATCTCTACCTTGCGGGTAGAGAGCCTCTCAGCTTTATCGCAAAGCTCTCACACACACTTAACCCGAGGCAGCTACTCTAGCCAATTAAGCCTCAATATTTCAAGTACAATATGAAAGGGAAAAGAAAAAGTCTGTCTAGAACTCCGAGCGGGCAGTTTCAGGCGCCAAGGACTTGATCTTTTTCTTGAATGATTCTTCTAAGTATTTTTCTCGGTTCAGCACACTCCTTTCTCTTTTGCTTCTTCGATTATATAGGCTGCCTTAAATCCGTTGGAGCATTCTTCCTTTGAATAGATGATCTTCTAATCTTGGGACTTGCCTTGTTATTTTGAATTGTTTTCCTTTCATAATATTTCCCAAATCCAAACTCAATATATTAGGTAGCCAATTTAAGACAATCAAAATATCACATTAGTAGCATATTAATCACGTATAAAGTGCTACTCATTTAAATCTCGAGTGATCCCTTAATAGGGAAAATCCGAACTATGGTCAACCAAAAAAGGTAGGACAATATTTAGCCAAAATATGGATTTCCTATTTGAAACCAATTTCCTTTTAAAAAAGAGTATTTAAAAAGGTACTTTTCGTTTGATATTTCCACCAAGAAAAAGGAGGCCAAATCATGCAACGATCTTTCTTTATTAAAAATGATTATTTTTAAAAACAAGCAATGATAGCTTCTCAATTTGTATGGTAAGCAAATAATTATTTAAAAGGCATATGGCTCCTACGGCAGCTTCCAAAACGCAAAGTATTTATTTAATGCAATGGTCAATCAAATCATATGTTATGCAATCCACCAAAAATATTTCAATTTCTATATTAAGCAAGAAGACCTTTTATATATCAAATTTAAATACGTTGAAAGATATGCACATGTAGACACATAACTAATTATGAGACTGAGAATTTCGTGGAACTGTTCTGTCCAGAGTTCGTATTAGAACTCTCCGTAGTCGGTTCTGTCTCTTGTTCCACCTGCATGGTTAGTCATCAACAAAACCACATACTCAACAAATTCCCCCTTTTTGTTGATGACAAACATTAGGTGCCATAGTGAAGGTGTCCCTGCAGATTAGTAATATTTATAGTAGAACATCAACGCACAAAGGGCACCCAGATTTTCCCCCTTTTGTCATTCAACAAAAGGAACCAAAATAATGCCCAAATTAAAATATCGATTTGTTCCCCCTTAGATGAGGCCGGAAGATCCTGCATGCTTTCTTCGCGACTAGTGAAAAAGATTAGTACCAGTTATACAATTTAGGAAATGAGAAGTAGAACAAATAAATTAGGAATTAATTAGACCGAGTTCCAGTCTAATTATTTCAAACCTTTCTCTTCCCAGAGGCTTGGTAAAGATATCAGCTATTTGTTTCTCGGTGTTGCAATATTCCAGCCTGATTATTCCCTTTTCCACGCAATCTCTCAGAAAGTGATGTCGTATATGAATATGTTTTGTCCGAGAATGCATGACCGGGTCCTTTGATATACTAATTGCACTTGTATTATCGCATAGGATGGGCGTGCACTTTAAATCAACCCCGTAATCGCTTACTTGTTGCATGATCCACAATGATTGAGAGCAACAAGATGCGGCTGCTACATACTCAGCTTCGGCTGTTGAAAGAGCAACTGAATTTTGTTTCTTTGAGCTCCAAGAAACTAGACAGGGACCTAGGAAGTGAGCCGTTCCAGACGTACTCTTTCTATTTAGCAAATCACCTGCAAAATCAGAGTCTGAATATGCAATAAGGTTAAAATCATCATTACGAGGATACCATAGGCATAAATCAGCAGTTCCTTTTAGATATTTGAGGATCCTTTTCACAGCCTTGAGGTGAGATTCTTTGGGATTGGCCTGGAACCGCGCACATAGACCTACGCTGAAAACAATGTCAGGTCTACTGGCAGTGAGGTACAGTAGGGACCCAATCATTCCTCGATACATCTTTTGGTCTATGCTCTTTCCTTGTTCATCCGCATCCAGCCTATCATTTGTTCCCATAGGTGTAGTCATGGTTTTGCCTTCACTCATTCCGTACTTCTTTAGGAGTTCCTTGAGGTACTTTTGTTGAGATATTTGAGTTCCTTTGCTTGATTGCTTGATTTGTAGGCCAAGGAAGAAATTAAGTTCCCCCATCATACTCATCTCAAATTCGGAACTCATAAGAGAAGAAAACTCATCACAAAGAGATTCGTTAGTAGCACCAAAAATAATATCATCAACATAAACTTGAACAACCAATAGGGCTTGATCTTTTATTTTTAGAAACAGAGTTTTATCTATTTTTCCTCTTTCAAAATTGTTTTCCAAAAGAAATTTGGATAGGCGTTCATACCAAGCACGAGGTGCTTGTTTGAGGCCATAAAGTGCTTTATCTAATTTGAAAACATGATTAGGAAAATCTTGATTTTCAAAGCCCGGTGGTTGTTCTACATATACCTCTTCCTTTAGATATCCATTCAAGAAGGCCGTCTTGACATCCATTTGGTGGAGGGTGAAACTCATATGAGCCGCAAATGCTATGAGCATTCGAATTGCTTCTAGTCTTGCCACCGGTGCAAATGTTTCGTTGAAGTCTATTCCTTCTTGTTGGTTATAGCCTTTGACAACAAGCCTAGCTTTGTTCCTTGTGATTTGGCCATGTTCATCAAGCTTGTTCTTGAATACCCACTTGAGACCTATCACGGTCTTGTTCTTGGGTCTCGGTTCTAGATGCCACACTTTATTTCTTTCAAACTGATTTAGTTCTTCCTGCATAGCTAGAACCCAGTCAGTGTCGGAGAGAGCCACTTCATGGTTCTCCGGTTCTATAAGAGATAAATAAGAAGAGAAAGCACAAAAGTTTTTAAGTTTAGATCTAGTTGTTACTCCCTGATTTAGATCGGTGAGGAGGTTATCCAGCGGATGTGATCTATGAAGCTTCCAACCCCTAGGAGCGTTGGGTTGGTCCACCAAGTTGTTGAGAGCATCTGGAACTGGTTCTACCGGTTCTACAGGTCCAGTGTCAGTGTTCTGTCCAGGTTCTTCTTCAGTTCCAGATTGTTCATCTTCATTTGTTAGAGGTGGTTCACCAGTTTGATTGTCAGTTTCTTCATCTCCTTGAGATTGTGATTTCTTGCGAGTGATCCCTAGCTCACCATCATCGGCTTGGATTGATTTTGGGGCAAGTGCTTCATCAAAGATTACATGAATGCTTTCCTCCACACATTGTGTGCGTTTGTTTAGAACTTTGTAGGCCTTGCTATGTGGGGAATATCCTAGAAAGATTGCCTCGTCACTTCTAGCATCAAACTTGCCGATGTTGTCTTTCCCATTGTTGTGGACGAAACATTTGCATCCAAAGGTTCTAAGATGACTAATGTTGGGCTTCCTTCCTTTGAGTAGTTCGTAGGGTGTTTTCCCTAGGAGTGGGCGGATCATGGCTCGATTAATGATGTAACAAGCTGTGTTTAGAGCCTCGGCCCAGAAACTCCTAGCTAGACCGCTGGAAATTAGCATTGTTCTAGTCATGTCCTCCAGAGTTCTATTCTTCCGTTCTACCACTCCGTTCTGTTGTGGAGTTCTAGGGGCAGAGAAGTTGTGGTCTATCCCTCGTTCCTTGCAGAATGCATCGAAGAGTGAGTTGTCAAACTCAGTTCCATGATCCGATCGGATCTTGATTAGTCGTAGACCTGTTTGATGTTCAATTCTCCTTATAAAAATAGCAAACTCATTAAAAGTATCTTTCTTGCTAGCAAGAAAGATAGTCCATGTAAATCTTGAAAAGTCATCAACAATAACCAGAACATATTCTTTGTTTCCTCGGCTACGGACTGACATTGGACCACACAAATCCATGTGTATTAGTTCTATGGGCTTGCTTGTGCTCACCAAATTCTTTGTTTTAAAAGATGATCGAGATTGTTTTCCGGTGGCACAAGCCGAGCAAACATGGTCAAGTGAAAATTTCATGTTCGGCAGTCCAATAACTAAATCATTATTTTTAAGTTTATTTATTAATGAAAAACTAGCGTGTCCAAGCCTTTTATGCCATAGCAAAGGATCGTTATCAATAACGCTCAAACAAGTCATACTAATATTAGGCAATGAATCAAGATCTACTTTATATGTATTTTCGAGTCTCTTGCCTTCAAGTATAACTTGTTGTGATTCGTTATTAACAATGCGACAAACGTTATGATCAAAAATAACACTGTTACCTCGATCGCAAAATTGAGAAATACTTAGTAAATTAAATTTCAATCCCTTGACTAAAAATACATTATCAATAGCATGGCTAGGTGACTTTCCAACTTTGCCCACGGCTATGATCTCTCCTTTGCCGTTGTCTCCAAATGTCACCTTTCCACCGCTAAATGGCCGTAGTGAGAGGAATAAAGATTTGTCTCCCGTCATGTGCTTAGAACAACCACTGTCAAGGAACCAGTGATTGTTCCCCCTCACTCGGCGCTGTTCTAGGATTAAGGGTTAGCGTGTGGAACCCAGACTTGCTTGGGTTCCATTTTGTAATTGTTTGAGGAATATCTAACATGATCATAGCATCTTTCTAAAGTCTTTTGCCGAGAGTGACATTGATACCGTAGATGACCGATTTTGCCACAATGCATGCAAACCCGGTTATCATAAGTATCAACGTATTTGGGTTTCCATTTACCGTGAAAGCCTCTAGTTCTTTTGTAAAAAGTCCGGTTAGGCATTTGTCCATAACCGTTTTTGTGCCTCTGAACCAGTCTATCGAACCAGTTTGGTCCAGTTCTAGGTGGCTGTTGATATGGTCTAGAACTGGGTTGTTCTTGGGTTCTTTTATCCTTAAAGGGTTGGTTCTGAAAATTTGATTTTTGATTAGATCGGATATCCTTTGGAACATATCCGAGACCTGCAGTCTCGTTTACTTTCTTATTGTGCTGAGAAGGACCAGTTCCAGAATGATGTCTAGACCTGGTTTTGTTCGTTGCACTATAGGATTGATATTCCGGTCTGTTTTTAAAATCAGTACACTCGGCAACAAGACGATGAAGATGATCAATTAAACAACCAACACTCGGTATTTTTGAGAGAAGCTTTTCATCATGATCAACTTGTTTGTTCATACTATCGAGCTTAAGAGAACAAATAATTTGATCTTGTTCTAGAACCACTTCACTGTACTTAAGCCTTTCATCTATTAACTCTCCCACTTTTGTTTCAAGCCTTATTTTGGCTCTCGTGGCTTCCTCGAGTTTAGACTCAAGCTCAGTGATACGTGATTTAAGATGATCATTTTCGGAAAGACTTTCATTAAGCTCAATAGTCAACCTTTTGAAAATTTTCCGAGTTTTGGTTTTGGATAGAGAGTCAAACTTGGATAGGAAATTTTCAAAGTTTACCTCAAAGCTTTCTTGGTCAGATTCCTCGTCGGAGAGTGCCATAAGACATAGACCCGCATGATTGGAGTTCTTATCATTTTCTTCTTCTTCATCATCGGAAGAATCTCCCCATGCTGCCATCATGGCCTTTTTGAGATCTCTCTTGAACCCTTTGTCTTCGCTGAACCTCCGATTGGAACTGGACTTGTTCTTGTCGTAGGTTTTCTCATTTTTCTTTTGTGGGCAGTCCTTAGCCCTGTGCTCAAAGGAACCACAAACAAAACAACCTTGGTTATTAAAGGATTGAGTATTTCTTTTACCTTGTTTGGTACGGTTGTTCTTGAATTTCCGGTACATCCTCCCAAATTGTTTTGCAAACATGCTCATCTCGTCATCCGATTCACTTTCAGATTCTTCTTCTTCCTCTCGAGCTTTTAGAGCTATTCCTCTTTCTCGTCTAGCACTCTCGGCATCTTGTTCTTCTTGAAGACCTAGTTCATATGTCAAGAGTGATCCAGTCAAGTCTTCAAGCGTCATGGTGGATAGATCCTTTGCTTCTTCAATAGCCGTGGTCTTAGGCTTCCACTCTTGGGGCAGGCTTCTCAAAATCTTTCTCACTTGATCTTCCACGGTAATTTCTCTTCCAAGGGCTGAAAGCTCATTGATAATGTTAGTAAAGCGTGTAATCATATCCTTAATTGACTCTTTTGGCTTCATTACGAATAATTCGTAATTACGCATGAATATGTCAATCTTAGATTTTTTTACACGTGAGGTTCCCTCATGAGTGACCTCGAGCAAATCCCACATTTGTTTTGCAGTCTTGCATCCTAGAACCCGATTGTGTTCGGCAGGACCAAGACCACAAATTAAATATTTAAGGGCTTGGGCATTATGCTCGAGTTTCTCATAATCTTCAGAAGTATATTCAACTTTAGGTTTAGGAACAACATTACCTTCGGCGTTTCTCTTTGTGATGACATTATCACCACTTTCAATTACATTCCAAACCTGGTAGTTATCGGCCTTGATAAAGTTTTCCATCCGACTCTTCCAAAATTGATAGTATTTGCCATTGAACAATGGTGGTCGTTGAGTCGAGTACCCTTCTTCCAATCGGTCAACCGTATTCATTTTGCCGGATCTCTTCCCAAGGTATTAGCCTTTATGTGGTGAAGACCGGCTCTGATACCAATTGATGAAAACGGTTAGCAACACAAGAGGGGGGGTGAATTGTGTTTGTGTGGAACCGTGGCAGTTTTTCGCCGAGTTCTAGTGTGGGATAAAGGGAATTGCAAAATAGTAAAGTGCACAAGAATTTAACGAGGAAAAATCCCTTGGCTCAAAGGGATTAAAAAACCTCGACCTCCCTCGGAGGAATTTTAAACAACTTCACTAAACAAGCCTTTGGAAGAGTTACAAGAGAGATTCTCCTAACCTACCCTTGAGCCTCCCCAACTCTATCCTCTCTAGGAAGAGTTATGCATCTCTACCTTGCGGGTAGAGAGCCTCTCAGCTTTATCGCAAAGCTCTCACACACACTTAACCCGAGGCAGCTACTCTAGCCAATTAAGCCTCAATATTTCAAGTACAATATGAAAGGGAAAAGAAAAAGTCTGTCTAGAACTCCGAGCGGGCAGTTTCAGGCGCCAAGGACTTGATCTTTTTCTTGAATGATTCTTCTAAGTATTTTTCTCGGTTCAGCACACTCCTTTCTCTTTTGCTTCTTCGATTATATAGGCTGCCTTAAATCCGTTGGAGCATTCTTCCTTTGAATAGATGATCTTCTAATCTTGGGACTTGCCTTGTTATTTTGAATTGTTTTCCTTTCATAATATTTCCCAAATCCAAACTCAATATATTAGGTAGCCAATTTAAGACAATCAAAATATCACATTAGTAGCATATTAATCACGTATAAAGTGCTACTCATTTAAATCTCGAGTGATCCCTTAATAGGGAAAATCCGAACTATGGTCAACCAAAAAAGGTAGGACAATATTTAGCCAAAATATGGATTTCCTATTTGAAACCAATTTCCTTTTAAAAAAGAGTATTTAAAAAGGTACTTTTCGTTTGATATTTCCACCAAGAAAAAGGAGGCCAAATCATGCAACGATCTTTCTTTATTAAAAATGATTATTTTTAAAAACAAGCAATGATAGCTTCTCAATTTGTATGGTAAGCAAATAATTATTTAAAAGGCATATGGCTCCTACGGCAGCTTCCAAAACGCAAAGTATTTATTTAATGCAATGGTCAATCAAATCATATGTTATGCAATCCACCAAAAATATTTCAATTTCTATATTAAGCAAGAAGACCTTTTATATATCAAATTTAAATACGTTGAAAGATATGCACATGTAGACACATAACTAATTATGAGACTGAGAATTTCGTGGAACTGTTCTGTCCAGAGTTCGTATTAGAACTCTCCGTAGTCGGTTCTGTCTCTTGTTCCACCTGCATGGTTAGTCATCAACAAAACCACATACTCAACAATTATTATATAGCCTCCTTTATGCAGTTTGTTGCCAAGAAAGTGTGAAGCATTTGTTTTTCATGCCCTTGTACCGAGGTCCGAGGGGACTTTAGGACTGAATCTTTTTGTTAAATGTTGGGCTTTTCCACTTTAAAATGATGTTTTACATATAAATTATGCTTTAAATTTATGTTTTGTTTTAATTTCTTTTATTTTCTCCCACACAATTCCACTATGCACCCTTATCTCTGTTTTTATAGTAAAAATCAAATTTTGTTTTAACTTTAATCACTCTGAGAAAATGAACTTTGTTGTGCCAGCATGCTATATTATACTTGGTATAATTCACGTGAGCTGTATTTTGTGTCATGCTTCTGGATATACTGACTTCAATTCTTAGGGTGTACCTTTTTTGGGGACAACTTCCTTAGCAAGAAATATTTTTCTTTTATACATTAGTAGATTTAATAGGTTATGGGAATTTCAGCTTTATCTTTAGGAGAAAAAGAACAGAAAAATTGTAGGTGCATGTGCCCTTATTTATAGCTTTATCTGTGCCTTTCACGTGTATTTTGAATCTCCCTTGTGATGATCTTCACCATTGGAATAATTTAGCTAGTTTCATCGCACTTCAACTTTGAAATGTTTGGTATTGAATGCTTTGCAGTAGGCTGAAGTTTGCACTTTTTGAATTATTACTTATTAGATTCTAAAACTATTTTTATAATATTTTGTTTTCTTTACGTCTCTGATATTTCCCTGTCTGTTTTTCCATGTTTCAGCAAGAACCTCCTAAATTAAGGATTTAAGGAACTTGATTGAGTGGCAGAAATGAAGTAGTAGTACTTTATGCCTTTGGTTTATCATTATATTGACTTTAATGTTTCTTTTTCAAATAAAACCATATTTAATTCTGCCCGTTTACTGATATATGTTCTATGCTTTTTTCCTTTGGTTTGTTAGGCGTCAAGTAAGATGGGATGAGCATAATCTGGGAGAAATTGAGGCAAACAAACCTGTAAGACAGAAAATAGCTGAGCCAAAGACACCATATCACCGTATAATTGATGATGATGGTATACACCTCTTGCTTTCTTTTCCCTTTTTTTTGTGTTTGTGAGCACTTTTGCTATAATTTGGGTGCAAGTGTAATCATTTAGGGATTGATTTGTGGCTCCTCTTGGCCCATAATTTTCTTCCTGGTTTGAATTAGCACACTTGTTAAGAAAGTGAAATTGTATGATTGTGATTGATGTGAAAGGAGGGGAAACAATATCAACCATACAATAGTGTCAAATGGCGGCATCATGGCGGAAATATGGCAGACTGCTATATGAAACTTGTCAAGAATATTAGTTTGTGGCTGTTTATTGCTGATTTTGTCAATCCACCATACTACTCCATTCACCATTGATAACACTTTCATACAATATACTTTAAAAAGAATCAGGAAGAAAATTTTGAGCGAAAATTTTGTGGCATCTCAAATAGTATAGTGGAAGAAAATTGTGGGACATGAGTAGTACTTATTGGCGTATTATGATGTATTTATTGTTTATTGGCATTATCTGAATCATGCTGTTGCTTGTTGCCCGTCTATGGTTGTTATAGGATCTTTGTCTCCTATAAGGGTTGGCTCAAGTGATGAGTCTCGGGATGCAATACATGCTGAAGCTATAAGGAATGCATTGAATGATGTTGCATCTTCTCCATCTAGTAAAAGTAAATTGGGATCTGATGGTGGTTGGGAATCATCTGAAGATGATGAGGCAGAAGCAATTGATGAAGATGGTGGAGGTTCATTCGTTTTCTCTATTAAGCTTTTGAACCTTCTAATAGGCATGATCCTGATTCATATTTTTTCCTTTTTGAAACAACATTTGCGTGAAGGTTCAAAGCCAGGAAGTAGAAGCAGGTCCTTTAGGGAACACAGACGGGCCCACTATGATGAATATCAGAGGGTCGAAGAGCTGCGCTCAAAGGGTTCCTCCATGGAAGATGAATTCGGTGAGGAAGATGCTGAGAAAAGGGGTGGTGAAGAAGATGTTGAAGAAGACGTTGAGAAAAGGAGCAGTGAAGAAGATGGTCAGAAAAGGGGCAATGAAGATGCTGAGGAGAAAAGGGGCGGAAGATGTGATTTGTCCTCATCTTTAACAGCCGGTGTTAATAATATAGAAATTGTGGAAGGTAGTCCTCCAGATGCTAGTAAGAGTATAGTAGTTAATGAAGAAGGTAGTGAAGCTGTCGATAAACAATCAGCTCCAGCCAATGGAAAAGTTGATCCAGAACCCTTGCAGGTCAATGTACCATAAAAGTCATAATCTTTAACTGTTTAATGATTAAGCACCAATTTTTGGGTTCTACAAGATTTGATTGGTAAGCTTTCTGACCAAGCATTGTTTTATGTTTGGAACATGTGTTGAGATTGAAGACTCTTCCATTTTATTATTGTCTAAGACTTGCACATTTTGTAATGGCGTTCTTCTGTGTAAACTTGTAGTTCCAGATTTGTAGTTGGTCTTCATCAGTTGAACTGAAATGGATGAAGCTACATATTTTGGTTGTATTTGTACATAATGTATTTATAATACATTTTTAAAATAATTTAAAGTAATGTGTACTTAAAATACAGTGGGGGGATAAAAGTATTTTTGCTTTCACATTTCATGTCTGCCACTTATTTCCATCATTCTCAATAGAGTCAAAGACCCACTATTTTTTTGTTTGGGAATATGATTGAATAAAGCAAAATGGCTCATGAAATTGTCTGCGCTTCTTTGATATGAAGCAACAGTTAGTCCATGCAATTTTTGACGCGGTATTCACTATGAGTCACCCAAAAACAGTCTCTCTCTGCGTTAGTACAAGAGTAAGACTATGTACAATATGAGCCTGGGTGACTCTGGGATGATGATGATTTCATGTCTGCCATTAAAAATAATTGCCATCTTCACTCAGAAGATCGTGACAAGGCTCAAAAGGAGGTCTAAAATGTCACTCTTACAAAGGAAAAAGAAATTCAAATGATGTTATTTAAAAGTGTCATTGTTACTAACTTACCATAGATCAAAACTTCAATAGTGAAAAAAATTCTTTATGTAAATTCAAATGTTATTATATGGAATAATTTATTCCCAGAAACTATACAAATTCACATTCTCAAACATCCCTAGCTAACACACCAATCAAGTACTGTGATGTCTGCGCAAACAGATGGGGTGCCTCTAAAGTCTAATAAAAACTCGCACACAATCAGCCTAAGCAATAATCTAAACTGATTGAGAGATGCCAATCTGGATAGGTTGATATAACCACCAGTGACAATTATAAAATATTCCAGACATCTTCTCCATCAGAAGGGATCAGACACAAAAAATTTGAAGAAACAAAAGACACACAGTTTCCTTTAATATTCTTTTGTGCTGCGCTGCTAGATGTTGAGCGGTCTTGTTCATGAGTAGGTGTGTGAAGCAGACATGTTGGTGTACACAAGCTCACTGATGATAAGTGGTGTAATAACCCCATCTCCTGCTTTGATGATGATGAACCAGGTAGTTTTACAAAAGAGACAATTCCACGCCTGCAAAGCGGGCATGGAATGGAGCCAAGCGGACACATTAATTCGGACAGGTTATTGCTTGCAATTGCAGAACAAAGGTACAGTGCACATCTCACACAAAATGCATGCCCACAACCTGAATGAAAGACCATCCATACACAGTATTTAAAATTGAGGGTCCCACAACTTCAAATGACCACAGTCAGAAATCTTTCAACACTACACTTCACGGGCCACACTTCGTCTGGACCATGCGATGTTCTTTTATAAGACTCATACATTGCAGTCTTACCCAGACACTAGGTAGTAGTAAATTAAATAAGAGCAGAACATATCACACATAAAATTCATTTTTTAAAACAAAGCTAACAGAAAGAAAACTAGTAAAGTTTTAAATAGGGTAGTGGTAATGTAAAAAAAAAACAGATCGAATGAGTGAAGAGTGGACCTTCAGCAGCAACTGTGCATGTTCTCTCCAAGAAAACTGCACAAGTATCTATATCATCATCTCTAGTTTTTTCTGAGGACTGCTCTCTGAAAGCATTAAAATTCAGACCATTTTTACCATCTTAATTTCATTGCAAGGTAGATATGCTTTATCTTTTTAGGCATGGGGTAATATCAAGTTCTGACCTAAATATAACGTTAAGTAACTTTTTGGCAAGTAAGGTGGTTGCACATTTGTTTGTTGCAGATTAAGAAACTTCGATACCATATAAATACTTAAGGTTTTATTAGAAAGATTCAACCTCATGGGTGGAGTAGCTCAAAACCTAATACATGAGTTTGTATCAGTGGGCATTATTAAATGCTAGTTACCTAGCAATTTCAAGTGCACTCAAGAGTGGCAATGACAAATAGGTAGATGACAGGAATGGCGGAATGGTGGAGTCAAAATTTGGGTCAAGCAGCGGTTCAAGCCAATGACGCCCCCACGTCCTGGAAACCTGAAGTGGAAGCCACCTGGTGATAGAATCCATCTGTTATGCATGTCTTTTTCAACATTCTTGTGATACTAACAATTCATTGTTATTACACAAAAGCTTTGCGAGAAGCTAACGATGAAGTACTGTAGTTTACCCACCCGTTGCAGTTTAATGTCGACCGACTGACCCCTCTTGCAATGAGGATCTGAAGAATCAAGAAATAATATTTGGAATACTTTCATTCCATTGAGTGAATACAATAGCTTAACATTTACTCACCTGACAGCATTTGATATTTCCCCCACAAGCAGCATAGTGCAAAGGAGTACTCCCACCTCCTGCAATATCACATATTTGAGGCTTTTCATTTTAATCTCTATACATGTTGGAGCACACAAAAAATGTTTTTAGACTCAAGGGCTCATTTGGTTCTGGGATTTTTGTATTGTGAATTTAGTCAAATAATGTGTTCTGTAATTTCATGATTTTATTATCACCTCCTCGGCCCCTCCCCTGCACAATCCTGAACCAAACAAGCCTTATGTAAATGTTATACACATAAATACACCTATAAGATCCATGGATGTTCCATAATGAAATGTAACAGCTGATACATTAGCATGAAGATCAAGCAGGAGTTGTACACATTCAAAATATCCGTTTAATGCAGCCATATGAAGAGCCGTAACACCACCATCTGCAACCTTATTTACAAACTTTGCCAGAGCGGTGAAGGTATGAAACAACCCAAAATACAATCAACACAAACTTCTAAGCTATAATATAATGTGGAAAAATTACTTCAAAAAAAGATCAACTGTTCACTATACAGTAAAAATATGACAGAAAATTTCGATAACAAATTTGACTAATGTGGTGAGATAAAAAAATCCAATTTTTACTTGTAGATAAAATATAATTCTTCCAACTATTGACCGTAGAACATGAAAACGTTTAACTTTTAAATGCAGGCAGATCTCCTATGAGCATGTCAACACTTCGCCCACATTTCTTTTTTGAAAATGACCTTGTATTGTTTTTGGTATAAAATGAAATAGTTAGATATCTATTAGTAATTTTTCAAGATTAGGAATATTTTTAGACTATACCACCTAGTTGATACTTCATCCGTCCAAAAATGATATTCACTTTTACTTTTCTTGGCCAACACAATTCTAAATATGTATTAAAAATTCTGAGGGGAGAATTAACTTCAATCTCAGCCAATGTAGTAAACTTATTTTTTCACATGAAGTTGGTACGGTTGAAGTACTATTTAGTCATTTTCCCGTACAATTAAATAGATATTTTGTTTAATTTCAAAATGACTATTCAAGGTTCCAAGAGACTGGACAACAAGATCATACATATTCCAAATATGAAGTTTTCATATTTATCATTTAAAAAAGTCTCACATTTATCATTTGAGACCGATTTTCCATCATTTGCAATGGAGCCAAAGATTCACTATTTTTTGGCTTGAGAATATGATGGAATAAAGCAAAATGGCTCACTAAATTGTCTGCGCTTCTTTGTTATGGAGCAGCAGTCAGTCTAAGCAATTTTGGACGTGATTTTCATTATGGGTCATCCGGAAACACTCTCTATGCTTTAGTACAGGGGTAAGACTGTGTACATCCGACCCTCCCTTACCCTACCATAGGTGGGAGCCTTTGCGGCACTGGGGTAATGATAATGAATGATTTATCATTTGAGACAGGACATTCTTGGTAATCCTCATGTTATCTACTGAAATATTTTATTAACTCAGATTAAATAACTTACTGGTGATCATGTTTTCTCTTTGAATGAGAACTCTCACTTCTGTCAGCTACACTTGCAAATTCTAAAGGAGAACTGGGAACAAAGTCGGCCAAAACAAGTCTTATGCACCTGACATGCCCATTCACTGCTGCAAAATGAAGAGCAGTCCTCCCACTAAGATAGTCTATTTTTATAAAGTGACTATTTTTATACTCCGTATAACTTTTATTTTAAGTCAGCCTTCATTGTTGACTTCTTACTAAATGGAGCTCAAATGAGAAGCAAACGCGCATTGCCTCTTACTGGAGGTATAACAATAAAGTAAAATAAATAGTACTGGCAAATTAAATATGGGAATGAAGATAACCAAGAGAAGTTACTCCTTGTTTAAATTTAAACTTACTAAATGGAGGTAAATAAGAAGTAAACTCACATTGCATCTAAAAAGAAGAAGTGTTTGAACAGCTTCCCAGTGGCCATTTTGACAGGCTTGCATCAATGCTGTCTAGGGATTACACATAAAACTTCTCGTAAGGTTTTAAGCTAATATCAATCAATTTCAAGATATATACTTCATTGGCTGCAGATTATTCGCAAGTTCATTACTCATTCATTCAACACAATTCTTTTTCATTCTCTAATTTTAAGTATTACTTTTCTGTCACATTCAAATTCAAGTTTTGTGATTTAATAGAATTAAACACTTAGAAATATAAATTCTTAATTATTACATAGTAATTGTGAAGTTTTCCGCATCTAATACTTATGGAATGTGTGTCTAATATATAACTCTAAGGTACGCTTTACTTGTAGAATTAGTTGGACGTAACTTAATAAGTCATAAAAGCTTGGTTTGGCTGTGGATTGTTTGTTTATTTAGGTGTCATAGTTTCGGGTAGCCCGTATGGATTGGTGTTACCCATTTATCCATTCTTGAGTTGTTTATTTGTTTCTATATCAATTTTTTTTAATAATTAACTTGCTATTTTTTGAAAGTTAACTGTAGTTACTATTAACTTTCACTAACAAGTTCTAATATCTCCATACATGTAAGAATTACCTTCTTGAACCACTACACATAGTACTCCTCAGTCCCAAAATGAGAGTACCATTCACTGGGCTCAAAGATTAAGGAAGAGGGTAAAATCCAACAAATTCTAATATAGTTTGGATTCAACCAAGTTTAACAATGTACGACATATGAATTT